AATGCAACTAAATAATCAAATTAACATCGAGAGTCGATCGTATTTATCCAAAACAGCCATCGCGAGCTCGTCTCCATCATCCTCCCCGGTTGAGAAGGATTTGCCCTTGAATCCAGACCGAGCTCGTCATCGTCGGAGTTACCGCCCAGATATGGCACCAAATGTTTGACGGTGAACATGTCATGTCAGAAGTGCGAATATGTGACGGAAGCCGGAGACGATAAGCATTAGGATTGATCTTCTCGATGATCTCCACTGGACCAATCTTGCGGGCGGAACAACTTGTTTTATTCAGGAGGAGGGGAGAAACGATCCATCGTCAACACAACCCACACGAAGTCGGTAACCTCAAATTCAACATGCCGCCTCTGAGTATATGCATGACACTTATACGCCACGGTAACCGTGCGTGCGCTAAAAATACACCATAAGATCCTCGGCCCTGCGCTCAGATGGCTCCGAAGATGGCAAGGCCAAGAAGTCAGCGACTCCTCGAGGCCGAACCCTGTAAATAAAACCCTGTGGCCCGACTGACGGTAGAGTTATGGCCAAACTTGCCCTGGCTAAGTCGTTGGTCCCAACTCTTCAAGTTCTCTCCAACCAAGCAACGTAACAAATTCCCGACGGACCGATTGACGACCTTCGTCTGACCATCAGTCTGAGGATAATACGCACTACTGAAGTCCAATCGTGTATTTGGCAAGGGGCCACAAACTTCGCCAGAAAAAAATTACGGAACCTTGTGTCATGATAAGAAAAAATAGAGGACGGGAGGCCATGTAAGCGATACACTTCGCGAAAGCACAATTGTGCCACGTGGACGACCTCAGTAGCCAGTTTGCACGGAATGAAATGTACCATCTTTGAGAATTAAATAATCCTCGGGAGTCAATCGTATTTATCCAAAAAAGCAATCGCGAGCTCATCTCCATCAGATAACTAATTACTTATCTACAAATCCGAGTGACCACATACTTTATACTAATTATTTGTATATTCATGTCTCAATATTTATAGATAACTAAAATTAAAATTCTAATTATGATTTCTATAGCTTTTATTTGTCAAATTGAAAAGGTCTGCTAAATTTTACGCATTTTAATTTTTTTTAAACATACGATTAAACCTTTTCTTTAATCAAGGAGGCATAGTTTTTATTATTATTATTATTAAAGAACTACCTTTTTTTTTTAACATTAACCGGCATTAGGGTTGATTGCAGAACACAAAATCGTTCCCACGTCACATAATCTCCTATGAAAAAGCTTAAGCAGGCGGCAGAAACAGAGGAGACTCTGTTCACAGCCATGGCCGACGATAGAATATCCCAACTGCCAATACCTATACTTCACCACATACTATGTTTTCTCTTCCAGGAAGAAGCTGTGAGAACTTGTGTACTCTCCAAACAATGGCGCCACATAGGATCAACCCGCCCCAACCTCGGGTTTTCCGAAGAATGGTTCAGCAACACACAAGAAAAATTTGTCTCCGTCGTCGACCGAGTCCTACAAGAATACCGTGATCAAAACCTCTTCATACACAAACTCCATCTCGACATATTGAGGCCCGACTCACGACCGGTCATCTCCCTTCTCGACAAATGGATTCCGATGATACCCGCCCTCAACATAAAAGTGCTCAAACTCAACTTTCTTTCATATACTCGTGACCTCCCCTCGGCAGTCTTCTTAGCCGAGTCCCTTGAAGAACTACACCTGTGCAAATGTAGGGTGAGCCCGGTCAAGAGCGTGCGGTTTAAAGGTCTGCGCACATTCACTCTCAAACAGGTCCAAGTTGATGGCGTCACTTTCGAGACGATAATGTTAGGCTGCCCTTTGCTCAGGCGCTTGGTCATTAAAAGATGTTGGGGGTTGAGAAACGTTAGGCTGAGCGAAGTGCCACCGTCTGGGCTCAAGTACTTTGAATTGTTTGGTTCCAAGAGGATCGAAGGGTGTAGCATCGAAATTGATGTCCCGAATCTCGAGACAGTCTCTATCGAGGGCCCATGGATTTGGTCTCGCCGCCAAAGCGCATTCTTGTTCTCTCGTCTCACGATTTTGAGTCTCTATGATGTGATCCTGTCGAGCGAGACGTTCGATCTGTTATCGTTCGGCTGCCCGGCTCTTGAGAGCTTGACCATAGATAATTGCTCCGGTTTCAAGGAATTCCGTCTTGCAAGTGATTCGGTCAAGTTCTTGACCATCTGGACCAGAGAAATATTGCTTCAAGGAGTTAGGATTTGTGCCCCAAACATTGTCCATTTTGAATTCATTGCCCATATTTCCGAGGCGCCGGACACTTTCTCTTTCACGACCAATACTTCCAAGGAGTGGTCCTCAACTGTAGTTCTCTCTTCACATAAGGATGATCCCGATTTAGACCTCAATTCATGGTTCCTTAAGCTGAGACAAGTGCTAAAGGCACTAAGTGGGTCTCGGATTTCTCTTTATTTGCAGATGGACGTCGGCCCTCGGAACGTGCCCTGTAGTGCTGTTCTCGGTGACCAGCCGCCTGTTGTAGTGCTGGACTTGATTTTTGGTACTTGTAAATGTCGCACAACGGCTTGGCACATGGGGTTTATGAATGGCTTGTTTCGAGTTTGTCGACCGAGTTATGTATATGGTTGTAGGGACGTGGGCGAGTCGGTCAGGAACTACATTCTCTCGGAGTTTCTGTTAAACATCTTGCTAGCCAACAAGAAAGTCAGGGCCAAGACCTACTTTTGGCGGACCAATTTGGATCAAGTGCTTGTGGAATGTTTCGACGGGAATGAATATTGGCAGCGCATGCAGTGGAAGAATCTGGGGGAGTTGCGAAAACAAACAGAAGACAGGAATATTTGCCTTAGATTGAAATGGAGAGGTTAAAATGTTTCTAACAGACTCATAGTCAGTATGATGGGTTAATATATGGCTTGAGTTGAAATGGAGAGGTCAGACAACAGCATAAGTACTACGCTCGCTTGCTTTTTGATTTACTATATATCTCTCTTATTATTAAGCTTTTCGTTGNATTGAGTTGACTGAAATATACAGACTTGAAATATAAATAGACTGACAAATGGCGTTTATTTTTTTTTTATTTTTTTTTTGAAAATTAATTTTGGGGAATTAAAATATACAAATGGGTTTAAGTTTTTCAATTGATATGTGATCATTTGCAACTAAGGATGGATGTGAACAGCAAGCTTCCTCTCGTCCACCATGGCAACCCCTCTGTATATCAAAGGGATCAATTTTCCTAATGTGGCACAAAATTCCTCGGCAATTGTTCATGTTCAGCTTGGTGACTTATTATTTCTATGCTGCGTTTTTTTTAGCTTGTATCTTCTTTGTTGAAGCTTTTCTACATTTGTGTACTATGTCAAGTAACCATGTTCGAGTTTGTGTGCAGTATGGCGGTACGCTTTTTTGGGGGTTCGTTTGCGGGTCAAGTGTTTGATATCAGAATAGGACAAGTGAAATATAGAAATGGGTTTAAATATAGCAACCTTATCCTCGTTCGAAAAATGGGTCCCAATAGTCGTCCACAACATGGGCGCCTTAATGAAATGCCAACTCAAACAAGAGTCTCGGGACCGAACCCTTCTTCTGGCAGCACGATTTGGAGCAAATGTTTATGGAAACTCTCGACGGGAATCGATGGCAGCTCATGCAGTGGACGAAGCTGGGGGAGTTGCGAAACCGGGCGCAAGACAGGAAAATTCGGCTTAGATTGAAATGGAGATGTCAGACTGTATAAGGAAGCACGTAGCTCAGTTTTTTATTGTAATTTATTTTGAAATTCATTTTTTATGAATACAGAGAAAAAAAAACACACATTTTAGGATGTATTTTATTTTATAAAAAAATAATAGACACAATATATTTAAAGTTTTATTTTGTTTTATGTTGTAAAATTACTATTGCAATTAAGTTAATTATGGTTCTACGATACAGCGGAGATAAAGGACGAAAGACAGTCTCAAGACACAATTCTGCTTGATATGTCATAAGACTAAAAAATAACATAAGACTTCTGTAGGAAACAATGCTGATGTGAAGCATCCTNAATGACAGGAAAAAAGCATTGTGTAGACTGTAGAGGAAAAATAAGTCCAGCAATCCCAAACATACAGCAACCTTTGCCTCAGAAGTTAGTTCAGACTTTCCAATCACAATTAAAATTACTTTCAGTTTACCATATTTTCGTGACTGAGCTTTCACATATGATCACGGCCCGACTAAGCTATGTAATGTTTTCTCATGCTCAACATATTCCATAACCAGAAGAAGAACGAGCAAGCAAAGTATCAATTAAAAAAACAAAAGGAACTATTTTCTACGTTAAACGTTTCGCGAACGACCGAAATCATGAGCAAAACACCAATCGTGGGACAGCAAGTAACATTAAGATATATCTAATTTATCTGAGTTATGGCCAAACTTGCCTTGGCTAAGTCGTTGGTCCCAACTCTTCAAGTTCTCTCCCACAAAGCAGCGTAACTAAAATTTATGTCTCAATATTTATAGATAACTAAAATTAAAATTCTAATTAAGATTTTCTATATCTTTTATTTGTCAAATTGAAAAGGTCTATAAATTTTACGAATTTTGATTTTTTTTAAACGTACCATTATAAACCTTTTATCAAGGAGGCATTTTTTATTATTATTATTATTATTATTATTATTATTATTAAAGAACTACCTTTTTTATTAACATTAACCGGCATTAGGGTTGATTGCAGACCACAAAATCGTTCCCACGTCACATATAATCTCCTATGAAAAAGCCTAAGCAGGCGGCAGAAACAGAGCAGACTCTGTCCACAGCCATGGCCGACGATAGAATATCCCAACTGCCAATACCTATACTTCACCAGATACTATATTTCCTGTGCCAGGAAGAAGCTGTGAGAACTTGTGTACTCTCCAAACAATGGCGCCACATAGGATCAACCCGTCTCAACCTCGACTTCTCCGAAGAACGGTTCGGCAAAACACAAGTAAAATTTGTCTCCTTCGTCGACCGAATCCTACAAGAATACCGTGATCAAAACCTCTCCATACACAAACTCCATCTCCACATACACATATCGAGGCCCAACTCACGACCGGTCATCTCCCTTCTCGACAAATGGATTCCGATGATACCCGCCCTCAACATAAAAGTGCTCAAACTCAACTTTCTTTCATATGCTCGCGACCTCCCCTCGGCAGTGTTTTTAGCCGAGTCCCTCGAAGAACTACACCTAAGAAAATGCACGCTGAGTCCAGTCGAGAGCGTGCTGTTCAAAAGTCTGCGCACGCTCACCCTCGAACGGGTCGATGTTGATGGCGGGACTTTCAAGACGAAAACGTTGGGATGCCCTTTGCTCAGGCGACTGGTCATTAATAATTGTGGGGAGTTGAGAAACGTTAGGCTGAGCGAGATGCCTGGGCTCAAGCACTTTGTATTGCGTGATTACAGGAGGATCAAAGGGCGTAGTATCGAAATCGATGTCCCGAATATTGAGACGGTCCGCATCGAGGGCCCATGGATTTGGTCTCACCGCCAAAGCGCATTATTGTTCTCTCGTCTCACGAGTTTGGATCTCCAATTTGTGATCCTGTTGAGCGAGTCATTTGACATGTTATCGTTCGGCTGCCCGACTCTTGAGAGCTTGACCCTAAATAATTGCTCCGGTTTCAAGGAACTCCATCTTGCAAGTGATTCGGTCAAGTTCTTGCACATCTGTACCGCAATAATATTGCTAAAAGGAGTTAGGATTTCTGCCCCCAACATTGTCAGTTTTGAATTCATTGCCCATATTTCCCAGGCGCCGGACACATTCTCTTTCACGACCACTACTTCCAAGGAGTGGTCCTCAAAAGTATTCCTCTCTTCACCTGAGGATGATCCCGATTTAGACCTCAATTCATGGTTCCTTAAGCTGAGACGAGTGCTAAAAGCACTAAGTAGGTCTCGGATTTCTCTGTCTTTGGAGATGGACTGCAGCCCTCGGGACGTTCCCTGTAGTGCTGTTCTAGGTGACGAGCTGCCTATTGTGGTGGCGGACTTATATTTTTATAATTGTAAATGTCACACGGAGTCTTGGCACTTGGAGTTCACGAACGGCTTGTTTCGTGTATGTCGACCGAGTCTCGTATGGTGTTGTAGGCACGTGAGCGAGTCGGACGAGAACTACAGGCTCTCACAGTTTCAGTTGAACATCTTGCATATTGGAAACAAGAAAGTGAGGACCGAGCACTACTTTTGCGGCGGCACGATTTGGAGCAAGTGTTTGTGGAAAGTCTCGACGAGCAACAATGGCAGCTCTTGCAGTGGAAGAAGCTTGGGGAGTTGCGAAAACGAACACAAAACAGGAATATTTGCCTTAGATTGAAATGGAGATGTTAGAATGTTTCTAACAGACTCATAGTCAGTATGATGGGTTAATATGGCTTGAGTTGAAATGGAGAGGTCAGACAATGGCAAAAATACTGCGCTCGCTTTCTTTTCCATTTACTATATATCTCTTATTATTAAGCTTTTCGTTGTTGTCAGGAGCTGGATTCTTTTTTTTTTGCCTGGTTTTGACTTGAAATATAAATTCACTGACTTGAAATATCAATTGAGTTGAATGCAATATACAGACTTGAAATATAAAGACGGACAAATGGCGTTATTTATTATTAATTTTTTTTTTGAAAATTAATTTTGGGCAATTAAAATATACAAACGAGTTTAAATTTTTCAATTGATATGTGATCATTTGCATCTAAGGAGGGATGTGAACAGCAAGCTTCCTCTCGTCCACCATGGCAACCCCTATTTATATCAAAGGGATCAATTTTCCTAATGTGGCACAAAATTCCTCGGCAATTGTTCATGTTCAGCTTGGTAACTTATTTTCCATGCAAGTACTATTTTGTTAGATTCTATGTGGTGGAAAGAGCTTCATTCACCGTAACAATTTTTTCTCCATTCAAGCAGCTTATTATTTCTATGCTGCGTTTTTTATTTTTTATTTTATTTTTATTTTTTTATTATTATATTTTTTTTCTATTGCTTGTATCTTCTTTGTTGAAGCTTTTCTACATTTGTGTACTATGTCGAGTTCGAGTTTGTGTGCAGTACGGCGGTACGGTTTTTTGGGGGTTGGTTTGTGGGTCAAGTGTTTGATATCAGAATAGGACAAGTGAAATATAGAAATGGGTTGGAATATAGCAACCTTTTCCTCGTTCGAAAAATGGATCCCAATAGTCGTCCACAACATGGGCGCCTTAATGAAATGCCAACTCAAATTTCTGTCGTCATTAACTGAGCCATATTACGACATACCTCTGGCACTCTACAAAGCAGAGTCCCTTGAAGAACCTTCAGAAATTTATTTTGCCTGATATGCTCATTAGTAAGAAGAAATAAAAAATAACATAAGACTTCTGTAGGAATGGTGCACAAACTGGGCAAAAATCCAATTTTGGTCTCCTCCATTGTCTACTTTTGATACACTATCTTTTCCCTCATAAAAAATGGCCCATTATGTTACATTTTTCATCAGTTTTAGTACGCTACTCCAGTTGGCGGGATTACAAGATGACGTGGACTGAGATTGGAACTACGTGGAGGGATAAGATATTGACGTGGAAGGATAAAAACCTGATTTGGCATCTCGTAATCCCGGGCCACGGGATTAGTGTACTAAAACTGATGAAAAGTGTAACATAATGAATTATTTTTGATTAGGGGAAAGATAGTGTATTAAAAGTGGACAATGGACAAGTTAGTGGACTAAAATTAATATTTGCCGCACAAACTGAGTAGATGTGAAGCATCCTTATGTCCATTTGCAATTGTAAATGACAGGAAAAAAGCATTGTGTAGACTGTAGAGGAAAAATAAGTCCAGCAATCCCAAACATATGGCATGTATCAAAAGTTAGTTCAGACCTTCCAATCACAATTAAAATTACTTTCAGTTTACCATATTTTATAATCACGGGCCGACTAAGCTATGTAATGTTTTCTCATGCTCAACATGTTCCATAACCAGAAGAAGAACAAGCAAGCAAAGTATCAATTAAAAAAACAAAAGGAGCTATTTTCTACGTTAAACATTTCGTGAACGACCGAAATCATGAGCAAAACAACAATTGTGGAACAACAAGTAACATTAAGATGTATCTGTTTTATAAAAAAGGGAGTAATACTAGGAAATACATGAATTGTTTATTTTTTGCTAGAAGGACACTTATGTATAAAAAAAACTAGTACGACACCCGTGTACTACATGGTGCATGTGACTAGATGGATCCCTATCTTTATCTCTATCCACGGAGATACCTATCATGAAAAAATAATTTGACAGGAAAAAATAATTTGAACAAAAAAAAAAATAAAAGAGTTTAGTATTGTAGTATATACAAAATAAATAAATGGAAGAAATTTCATTAGAATGTGGTGTTAGAATCCCGTTACGAATTCAATTCAATATTTTGGAGTATGAATAAATTTGTTACCATATATTTGCCTGAAATTTAGAAACATTGTCAACTCAACTATCAAATAAAATAATAAAAAAAATAATTATCAAATAAAATATTGTTAACTCAATTATCAAATAAAAGAAATATTGTTAACTCAACATTAATTCCTTGTCAAACAAAAGTTCCGGCGAGGTGGCCATGGGACGAGATTGGAGGGCGTGCGGAGCCAGCGAGGTCGTGTGGAGGTCGAGCCGGCGAGCTCGTGAGAAAGTGAAAGTGAATTTGTGTTTTTTTTTTTCTCTGCTGAAAGCTCTCTCAATTTTGGGGCATGACTTAAAAGTGGAGATGAGGAAGTAATGTGAAAAGATGAATTTGGGGGGAAAATACAAAATTGTGAAAAAGTTTGGGTTTGGAGTAATTTTGTAACTTTACATGTCAAAATGGCTAAAAAACCATGTTTTTTACAAAAGGTGGCCAAAATTTGTGTTTTGCAAATTTTTATGGCCATTTAATGGTATTAACACTATTTATTTTTGTCTAACTATTTCTATAAGATCTCTAAATTTTTTATAAAAAGTATTTTGATATTTAAAAATATTAATTTTTAATTTAATATTTTTAGATGATAAACTAGAAATATAATATTTATCGAGTACTTAGATATTGATAAGAAATTGTGAAAAAAAAATAAAAGAAATATTTCAATATAAAACTTATAGAGTACTTAGATGTGGATAAAAAGCTGCAATAATAGAAAAATTGCAATATAAGGTGTACTCTCAAGTTGTCAAAGCACCTTCGTTAAAAAATATAATATATATAATATAATATATGTTGAGATGTTAATTAATAATTAAATTGCAACCAAATTTTATATTAACGATAAATATAATATTCAGTGAGATGTGGCATAAAATTTGTTAATAATAAATAAACTGGGAAAATTTGAGACAGAATAGATATACAAATTTGAATAGGAATAGGCATGCCATTAACAGATTCATAGTCATATTAAAAGAGAAGTTTTTTATTAGAAAACTGAGTAACTCGTGTTTTCATGAACTCTTGAATAACAGAAAGAGAGGAGAGTACCTCCGTAGCAATGGAAGACAGAATATCCGAATTGCCAATACCTATACTTCACCACATTCTCTGTTTCCTCTCCCAAAAAGAAGCTGTCAAAACTTGTGTACTTTCCAAACAATGGCGCCACATAGGATCAACGCGCCCCAACCTCGACTTCTCCCAAGAATGGTTCAACAATACAGAAGAAAAGGTTGTCTCCGTCAACTGCTCCATACGTCACCACGTTCTCTCTCTCCTCTCCAGACCATGGCGCCACAAAGGACCAACAACTCGCCCCAACCTCGACACTACACAACAAAACTTTGATTCCATAGTCGACCGAATTCTACAAGGATACTCTGATCAAAACCTATCCATACACAAACTCCATCTCCACTTATCCACTCCTCTCTCACCACCGGTCATCTCCCTTCTTAACAAATGGCTCCCGATGATAACCGCCCTCAACATAAAAGTGTTGAAACTCAACTTTCAGTCACTAACTTGCAATTGTTTACCAACTCCGGCGTATTACGAGTCCCTCGAAGAACTACACCTGCGCAATATCATCAAGCTGAGCCCGGTCAGGAGCGTGCCGTTCAAACGTCTGCGCACACTCACTCTCGAACACGTCCAAGTTGATGACGGCACTTTCGAGATGATAATGTTGGGCTGCCCTTTACTCAGCCGCCTGGTCATTAATTATTGTTCGGAGTTGAGAAACGTTAGGCTGAGCGAGATGCCTGGGCTCAAGCACTTTGAATTGTGTGATTATATGATCCAAGGGCGTAGCATCGAAATTGATGTCCCGAATCTCGAGACGGTCCGCATCGAGGGCCCATGGATTTGGTCTCACCGCCAAAGCGCATTATTGTTCTCTCGTCTCACGAGTTTGGATCTATATAGTGTGATCCTGTCGAGTGAGTCGTTCGACTTGTTATCATTCGGCTGCCCGACTCTTACGAAATTGACCCTAAAAAATTGCTCTGGTTTCGAGGAATTCCATCTTGCAAGTGATTCGGTCAAGTTCTTGCACATCAGGACCACAAAAGTATTGCTAAAAGGAGTTAGGATTTGTGCCCCCAACATTGTCAGTTTTGAATTCATTGCCCATATTCCCGAGGCGCCGGACACATTCTCTTTCACGACCACTACTTCCAAGGTGTGGTCCTCAAAAGTATTCCTCTCTTCACGTGAGGATGATCCCGATTTAGACCTCAATTCATGGTTCCTTAAGCTGAGACGAGTGCTAAAGGCACTAAGTGGGTCTCGGATTTCTCTGTATTTGCAGATGGACGACGGCCCTCGGGACGTGCCCCGTAGTGCTGTTCTCGGTGACGAGCCGCCTGTGGTGGTGCTGAACTTGATTTTTGGTACTTGTAAATGTCGCACGACAGCTTGGCACATGGGGTTTATGAATGGCTTGTTTCATGTTTGTCGACCGAGTCATGTATATGGTCGTAGGGTCTTGAGCAAGTCGGACGGGAACTACAGGCTCTTGGAGTTTCAGTTAAACATCTTGCTTGCAAACAAGAAAGTCGGGACCAAGACTTACTTTTGGAGGCATGATTTGGAGCAAGTGTTTGTGGAAAGTTTCGACGGGAAACAATGGCAACTCATACAGTGGAGGACACGAGGGGAGTTGCAAAAACGAGCACAAGACAGGAATATTCGCCTTAGATTGAAATGGAGATGTTAGAATGTTTCTAAATTCTCACCGAGTCATTATCAGTATGATGGGTGGGTTAATATGGGTTGAGTTGAAATGTAGAGGTCAGACAACGGCATAAGTACTACGTGCCCTTTCTTTTCTATTTACTATATATCTCTCTTATTTTTAAGCTTTTCGTCGTTGTCAGNCTGGTTTTGAAAATCAATTTTGGACAATTAAAATATACAAATGGGTTTAACTTTTTCAATTGATATGTGATCTTTTGCAACTTAATGAGTTTCACATTTGCCATGGTTTTTACCAAAAAATAGTTCAAAAGTCATAACCTTGCATAGCAAATTAATATGAGTGGAATATTAGGCGATGTTCATCAAATTTGATTTTTAGTGAGGAATATCGTTGAGCTTCTATACGTTCATCATACATGTGTTATGTCCACAGTGAGGAATTTCTGTCGTCATTAACTGAGCCAGGATTATACCTTCAGAAATTCTGGGTGAACAAAGTCCACAGTGTGCGGCTTAACCGTCTGCGTAACCTCACTCTACATCGAGTCTTCATTAGTGACCGGACTTCCGAGAAAATTATGTCGGGCTGCCCTTTGGTGAGCCATGTTTTCCATTTGAAGTGTAAGGGGATGATAAACGTTAGACTAAGCGAGGAGGCATCGCGTGGGCTCAACTACTTTGTATTTTAGAATTTTGTGAGGGCGATGATGGCTCATGGAGTTGGTCCCACCGCCAAAGCACATTCTTCTCTCGGTTCACTAGTTTGTATTTGTACCAACCGTCCTGTCAAGCAAGTCGATGGACAATATATTATCGTCTAACTGCCCGAGATTTGTGAGGTTGACCGTAAATAATTGCTACAGTTTCAAGGAATTTGATATTATAAGTGATTCGATCAAGTACTTGACCCTTTCTACAAGTGACTCGGTTAGGAATGCTTCGATTTGTGTTCCAAACATTGTTAAGTTTCCAGGAAGTAGGAGTCATCCATAAACCTCTTCTCTCGCATGTGCTTGATCCTTGTATCAACATGATGTCATGGTTTTTGAAGCAAAAACGAATGCTTGAGGTATTGAGTGGGTCTCGGATTTCTCTGTCTCTGAGGATGAAGGGCAACACGTCCGAAAGGCCACAAGACCGGAAAATTCGCCTTAGGTTGAAATGGAGATGTCAGACTGTATAAGGCCGCACGTAGCTCGGTTTTTAATTGTAATTTATTTCTTATGAATACAGAGGAAAAAAAAACACATTTCATGATGTATTTTATTTTATAAAGTATAATAGAAACAGTATATTTCAAGTTTTATTTTGTTTTATGTCATAAAATTACTATTGCAATTAAGTTAATTATGGCTCTACTCTACCTCAGTCCTCAGGAGATGAAGGTCGAAGATAGTCCCAAGACACAATTCTGTGTGATATGCCCAAGAAATAAAAAATAACACAAGACTTGTGTAGGAAATGGAGTAATACATGAATTGTTAATTTTTGCAACTATATTCCACGCGAATCTATTAAATAAATAAAAAAAAAACCAATATTTATTCCCTACATAAAAAGGAATAGAAAGCCAAAACTCTATATTATGTTGTGCGCAAAAACACACCTAAACAGAAAGGGATGGAGTCTATTTAATTATTATTATTATTATTATTAATGAATTACCTTTTTTATTAACAGTCACCGGCATTTAGGGTTGATTCATTCAGCAGTCGTTCTCACATCTCATTATCTCCTATGGAAAAACTCCGTCCACAGTGATGGACGACAGAATATCCCAACTGCCAATACCTATACTTCACCACATACTATGTTTCCTCTCCCAGAAAGAAGCTGTGAGAACTTGTCGACTCTCCAAACAATGGCGCCACATTGGATCAACCCGTCCCAACCTCGAATTCTCCGACAAATGGTTCGATGTCAGACAAGAAAGGTTTGTCTCCGTACTCGGCCGAACCCTACAAGCATACAGTGATCAAAACCTCTCCATACACAAACTCCATCTCCACTTATCGTGGGTCTCACTACGGGTCATCTCCCTTCTCGACCAATGGATCCCGAAAATAGCCGCCCTCAACATAAAAGCGTTCAAACTCAACTTTCATTCATTTTTTCCTACATATTACAAGTTGCCGAGGGCAGTCTTCTTAGCCGAGTCCCTCGAAGAACTACACCTGTGCTATTGCAAGCTGAGCCCGGTAGAGGGCGTGCGGTTCAAACGTCTGCGCACACTCACCCTCGAAGAGGTCCAAGTTGATGATGATGGGACTGTCGAGAAGATAACGTCAGGCTGCCCTTTGCTCAGCCGCCTTGTCATTAATAATTCTTGGGAGTTGAGAAATGTTAGGCGGAGCGAGGCGACATTTCATGGGCTCAACCACTTTGGATTCTGGGATTTCATGAAGATCAAAGGGCGTAGCATCGAAATCAATGTCCCGAATCTCGAGAAAGTCTCTATCAAGGGCCCATGGATTTGGTGTCACCGCCAAAGGGCATTATTGTTCTCTCATCTCACGAGTTTGCATCTCCACTCTGTGATCCTGTCGAGCGAGTCGTTGGACCTATTATCCTTTGGCTGCCCAGCTCTTGCGAGCTTGACCCTACATAGTTGCTCTGGTTTTGAGGAATTCCATCTTACAAGTGATTCGGTCAAGTACTTGCGTATCTCGACCAGCAATATATTGCTTAAAGGAGTTAGGATTTGTGCCCCCAACATTGTCAGGTTTGATTTCACTGCCGCTATTCCTTTGGCGCCGGAAACATTCTCTTTCACGACTCATTCTCAGTTTTGGTACTCAAAAGTAATCCTATATTCGTGTGTGGTTGGTCCTGATTTCGACGTCAATTCGTGGTTCCTTAAGCTGAGACAAATGCTCAAGCCACTAAGTGGGTCTCGGATTGATCTGATTCTGCAGATAAACCACGACATGCCATGTGGTGCTGTTGACGGCAGTAGTCTTCTCAGTGACGAGCCGCCTGTGTTTGTGGAGAACTTTGATTTTAGTACCCGTAAATGTCACGAGGAATCTTGGTATTTGGGCTTTACGAATGACTTGTTTCGTGTTTGTCGACCGAGGCACATAGGGTGGCGCATGCTCTCTTACATTCAGTTCAACTTCCTGCTATTAAACAAGAACCTCGTGACCGAACCCTGCTTTTGGCAGCAAGATTTGGAGCAAGTGTTTGTGGAAACTCTCGACGGGCAACAATGGCAGCTCATGCAGTGGCCGAATCTGGGGGAGTTGCGAAACCGAAAGCAAGCCGGGAAAATTCGCCTTAGATTGAAAGTATAAGGAACGCACGTAGCTCGGTTGCTTTTATTGAAATTCAAATATCTGGTCTTATTTCTCTCTCTGTCCCTCTATTAACCAAGGCTTTGATCTTGATATCATTGCTTTGAAAACTTGCTTTGAAAACTTTCCTGGTCTTGAGGACTTGAATTCGTAACTTGAGGCTTTTTTTTTTTCTTTTTTTGTTGGTTTTGGTTTGAATTATTTTAAAATTTTATTTTTATAAAATAGAGAGAAAAAAAACTATGGGATTATACAATTTCTCTTCATATCATTTGAGACGGTAAATGGGGGACTGGCATTCCCCACTCTTCATATCATTTGAGTTCTACTAGTAATTAGAATCTCGTGCGATGCACGGGGATTTCGTATCTTAGAATATTTTTTAAAATTTTATTTTAACAATATATTAACTTGTTCACCCGTTTATATTAATATAAATAATATTGTAACACATATATTTATTGTTTAATACAAAAAATAATAATTTTACATATTTTTGTTCATCATAAAGGAGATTTTACAAAGCCGGTTGCAATTATAAAATGATTTGGATATCAACATATAATTTATAATGGAGTTTTTAAAATAATGTACAATTAACAAATAATATATATCATTATTTTTTTTTTTTCAAATGCACAACTATTGAGACTGAGATTTTGAAAATTATATACCTTTTGAAATCGAGTTTAAAAAAAAAAACAATAAATCGGTAAACAAAGAATTAATAAATATTACCAAGTTTATTATCATGCATTCAAATAAATAAATTGTCATAATTTGTGGAAGATGATATTTAAAGAATATTTTTAGCGGTCAATATATTATTTTGAAAGGCACAAATATAAAGATCGAGATTCTAAAACTTTTGTTACCTTTCGAATTGAGATTTCATAAATATAAAGACCAGGATTTTAATATTGTTCGTTGATTCTAAGAAAAAAAGTAAAAATATAAACATGCACACTTTATAGATCTTAGCAAGAATTTTTAAATAATAAAATGAACTAAAACCCGAAATTTAAGGCAACATTTAATGTTGTATGATTTTTTAAAGAAAAAAATAAGAAAAATAATAAAACTTACTATTTATGGACTACATTAAATTCTGACCTATTTTTTTCTAATATTTTTAGTAAATGGTTATTTTTATTATATATACTAGTGCGGTATCCGTGCGATACACGGGCTAGTTTTACTAAGGTAACCATTTAGATTTGGACGATTGGATGATTAGAAGAACGTAAAATGCATGTATTGAAATAAAACAAAATGTAATTTATATATTATTAGACACATCGTTGTAAACAATATTATTTGTTTGGTTCTGTGATACATCATCTATGGCTACAAACTAGTACATAGCCCGTGCGATGCATGGGGTGCACAATTTTAAGGCTATTTATCCAGACTTATAATTATATACATGAATAAAGAAAAATGTACGGGATATATATAGTACGTGACCCGTGCGAAGCACGGGATATATTTATTTAGAGAATATTATATTATAAGATGCATTATTCAATAAAAGTTTATAATACGCAAGAAAATTGTACAATGTTCAATAAAAGGTTTATAATATTCAAGTGTAGTCTTAAAGTCTCTTGTACATTAAGACTACTAACAAAATAATATTTTAATCAATGAGTTACCTTTCCTTGTAGCCAAATTGTGAATGTGATTTGAGGAGTACAACAAATCGATATATAGCTGACTTGCTTTTTTCATTGTAGTTTTTTTTTTATAATGAATTTAAAGATATTCCTAAATATAGTAAAAATTAATTTTTTTATTACAATTAGGAATTTTACTAAATATAGACTCTCAATCTATGGTGTTAATTAACGTTGGAGTCCAAAAAATTAGGAATTTTTACCTCTTTTAATCAAGGTTTAAGTCTAAAAAACAATAGAGTTATTATAAGTTTTTTTCTACATCTTTTAAAACATTAAATATGAGCATGTTAGGGCTAGCTTCCATTCGCGGCCAATCTCGACACAACAGACAACCCTATGCCGCCGCCGCCACCTAACTCCGACGACTTCCGTTCAAGACGAACACTACCTTTCACCAACCCGAACAGGAATCTCTTGGTGCAATTGGAGCAGATGGCTGACGAGTCTCTCTCCGATTGCGTCCAATTGGCCGGAGAAACGCGCCCGGAGGAGACACAGCCATTCCCGTTCACCTGCAAACTCAAATTGATTTGGGCATTTTTATTGAAAATTAGGAAAGTTTCAAGGACTCAAATGCAATTTCTAAGATTTTAATTATATTTCAATTTAGCCCACAGGCTAAATCTGTAATTATTCAAAGTTAATAAAAAATAATATTTTTTATATTTTTTATACATATATATTGAATAATAAATAAAATATTAAAATATTGAATAATTCATTTGAATGTTTATAATAATTTGAGGGATTGATCGAATGATTATTAGTGCACATTATTTTTTTCTTTCAACAAATAATAATATAAAATATAAAATATAAAATTACAAAATCATAAATATTAAATATAATTTTACAATATAAATATTTTGATAAAATTTCAGTATGTAAAATTTAATATATAAAAAATCTTAAAATAATAAATATACTTTTGTAATAATAACTAATAATTTTTTTTTTTTATTTAGGTCAATTTGATGTGCAATTATATCGACTAAATTTATTTTTAAAAAACACATAATTTATATTTGATTGTATAAAGTAGCGCACTTTATATATCAGCACGATGCACTTTATACAACAACACGTTGCACTTTATAAAACAGCACGTTGCACTTTATCAACACACTCCACAATTGACGTTATCAGCTCTCCCACGAAAACGTCACGCAACATAAATTTAAAAAATGGATAAACATAATAGTATAACAACAATCACATCATTTATTCACACAAAACACAAGCACGTTAACGTACCAAAAAAACATTATTTCACTTTATACGTCAACACGTTGCACTTTGTAAAACAACATGTTGCACTTTACAAAACAGTACATTGCACTTTACAAAACAATACATTGCACCGACCGAACACAATTTTTTGTCAACCAAAAATAATATATAAATATAATTTTAATATAAAAACAAATTGTTTTGATTATGTAGGATAATTCGGTTAAGCGAATCGAATAAATCAATATGTTCATTTTCAGATTTACTTGACGTTGCACTTTATAAAATAACGTATTGCACTTTACAAAACAATACGTTGCACTTTATAATACAATACATTGCACTTTATCACGAATATCAAATTGCACATTAGAGATCGAAATCGATCAAACTTTTACATCTTTGATTATTAGTTTTTACTTTTAAAACGCACATATATACACAATTTTGAGCAATTCACTTATCGTGAAAAAATGACGTATTTATAAAATTTTAATAATTACGTATCATATGACATTATTTTTTTAAGTGCATGACATTATTTTTTTTAAAGTGCACACAATCATACCATATTGTGCATCTAATGTTTCATTAATGTGCATAATCTAATCTTCATTTAATTTTCACATGCCATACATAAATAAATAAATATATATATATATATATTAAAAGTGTACAAAATTGCAAAATAGTCCTCTAAAAATGTCAAATTTTCACAAAACATACCCAACCAAAAAAAAAAGAAAAAGAAAAAAACACTGCACTTCAGCAGCGCCGCCGCCGTCATCCTCGCCACCAGACTCCGCCGCCGCCGTCGTCCTCGCCACCAGACGCTGCCGCCGTCGTCGTCCTCGCCACCAAACGCCGTCGCCGGCGTCTTCGTCACCAAACACCGCCGGCACCGTCTTCGTCACCAAACACCACCGCCGTCCTCCGACCAAACAAAAGAAAAAAAAAAATCGGCCATTCTCCTCCGCCCTTTCTCCCGCGGCAGCCATCGCCGTCAGCCCTTCCAAATCTACATCGCCGGCCGATTAGGACAACAGACAGACGACAAGCAACAGCCTTTCTCGCCGCGATGACGACCACAATTGGTCCGGTTGATGGGCTGCGGAGGCGCAGATCTACACAGACGACGGGCTGGTTTTCCGCCGGGGCCTGCTCGGTAGCATCCGTCTCTGGCGATAGGTTGCGGAGGCGCGACGACGGACGGCATATGCGTGCGGCGGAACTCCGCCGCTGAGGAGACGGGTCGCCGGTGGTCAGTCTGAGTGTGTGTGTTGAGAAGTGTGTGTGCGTGGGGTGGGGGGAAAAGGGGGAAGAAGATGAGTGACGGGTAGGTGGAGGTGTGTAGGTTTAATGTGTGATGTGGTGGGTCCCACATGTTAGGTGTTTGATCCAAAAGTCTCAATTAATTAGTGCTAAATCTATATATTTGACCTTTATATATCTATTTATATACCATATTGCCATTAATGATTGACCATGATTTATTAAAGTTTGACTTGATCATGACCATTGATATATTGGATCCAATGATCCAGACTCATTCTCATTTTCCCGCATTAAGAGTCATTCTCATATGATCCTTTCTCTATATATATATATATATATATATATATATATATATATATATATATATATATATATTATATATATATAAAGAAATTTATTGTGTAGTCCAAATTAGGGTTTCTAATTTAAAATTCAAATAAGTAATTATTCATAACTTACGGTTGAATCTTGGAAGTAAATGGAATACTCAATCATTTATAGGTTAATAAATTAATCAACTATTTAATATTTTTGTTTGGATAGTTTATAAAAAAAACAATTCATTGTATTAATGAAACAATATAAGTTTTATACTTATACTTATTATTCACAAAATTTTATAAAAATAATTATTTCATGGAATCACATTGTAGTCAAATGGAATTTTTGAATAAAAATTTTAAAATGACACTTATATTGAAATGAATATAAATAATTTATTACAAGTTACATGCACAATACGGAGTACTAATTTCAAATCGACATGTTTTATGTAAATTTTGACAATTTAAATTTCATATAACATTGTCAGTAAATTAACATAAATAAATATTATTACATATTGATTTTATATTTTTAATTTATAACACTAAAACAAAATGATCAAATTCCAACGGAAAGTTCCAATAAAAACATATTTTAATGGAATTCCAACGGAAATTCCAACAAAAATTTTCCGTTGGAATGAATTTTTCATTGAAATTTCTGTTGGATTTTGAAGATTCCAACGGTAAATTTTCCGACGGAAGTGGAAATAAAAATTCCAACGGAAATTGCATGTTCCAACAGAATTTCTACGGTAAAAAATCGTTGGAATCATAAAATTCCATCTAAAATTCCGATGAAATATTCATTCCAACGTAATATTTTTCGTTGGAATTTCCGTTGGAATCATTCCAACGGAAGCTATACCATTGGAATATCCTTTGGAATTTTTGAAATATGCTTTGAAATTTTCGTTGGAATATATTATCGTATGATTTCCTGTTAGAATATAACATTTTTTTTTGTAGTGTAAATATTATTTAATGAGCAGTTTTAATTTATAAATATTAATATTAATGAATATACCGTGCATACATATCCGTACTAGTATGTGTAACAAACTACTAGATATGTTCCGCCCTCAAATCTATTCATACTGTAACTCATTTGTTAACAAACTAATGGGAGTGTTCATTTGTTTATGGAAATTTCAGTCATATTAGAAGTCTGATTTAAGTTCTTTATTTTTATTAGAAAATTGAGTTACGTTTTCATGTGTTTATAATAGATTCATAGTCATATTAGAAGACTGATTGAAGAAGTTTCTTATTTTTATTAAAAAATTGAGTAACTCGTGTTTTAATAGAACTCTTGAAAAAAAAAAGAAAAAAAAAAAACAGAAAGAGAGGAGAATACCTCCTATCCTTAGCAATGGATGACAGAATATCCGAATTGCCAATACCCATATGTCACCACATTCTCTGTTTCCTCACCCAGAAAGAAGCTGCCAGAACTTGTCTACTCTCCACGAAATGGCGCCACATGGGATTAACCCGCCCCAACCTCGAATTGTCTGAAGAATGGTGCGACAACAAACAAGAAAAGTTTGTCTCCATCAAACGTATTCTCTCTCTCCTCTCCAGACCATGGCGCCACAAAGGATCAACTCGCCCCAACCTCGGCAGTACTCAACAAAACTTTGTTTCCGTACTCGACCGAACCCTACAAGGATACCTTGATCAAAACCTCTCCATTCACAAACTCCATCTCCACTTTTCCACCACTCCTCTCTCACCACCGGTCATCTCCCTTCTTAACAAATGGATTCCCATGATAACCGCCCTCAACATAAAAGTGTTGAAATTCAACTTTCATTCACCAACTTGCAATCTTTCGCCAACTCCGGCGTATTACGAGTCCCTCGAAGAACTACACCTGTGCAAATGCAGGCTGAGCCCGGTCAAGAGCGTGCGGTTTAAATTTTTGCACACACTCACTCTCGAACAGGTCAAAGTTGATGGCGCCACTTTCGAGACAAAAACGTTGGGCTGTCCTTTGCTCAGGCGCCTCGTCCTTCGTAGTTGTCGGGAGTTGAGAAACATTAGGCTGACATCGCCTGGGCTCAAGCACTTTGTATTGTGTGATTACGTGGGGATCGAAGGGCGTAGCATTGAAATCGATGTCCCGAATATCGAGACGGTCAACATCGAGGGCCCATGGATTTTGTCTCACCGCAAAAGCGCATTATTGTTCTCTCGTCTCACGAGTTTAGGTCTCTATTATATGATCCTATCGAGCGAGTCGTTCGACTTGTTATCCTTCCGCTGCCCGACTCTTGTGAGCTTGACCCTATATAATTGCTCCGGTTTTAAAGAATTCCGCCTTGCAAATGATTCGGTCAAGTACTTGCGCATCTCGACCATAGACAATTTGCTTAAAGGAGTTACGATTTGTGCCCCCAACATTGTCCGTTTTGGTTTCACTGCCCATATTCCCCAGGTGCCGGACACATTCTCTATCACGACCACTACTTCCAATGAGTGGGATTCAAATGTGTTCCTCTATTCGTGGGCGGGACCTTATTTCGACGTCAATTGGTGGTTCTTTAAGCTGAGACGAATGCTCAAGGCACTAAGTGGGTCTCGGATTTCTCTGTCTCTGCAGATGGACGGCCGCCCTCTGAACGTGCCTTCTAGTAGTTATTTTCTCGGTGACGAGCCGCCTGTGGTGGTGCGGGACTTGGGTTTTGATACTTTTAAATGGCGCTCGGCGTCTTGGTTCCGGGAGTTTACGAATGGCTTGTTTCGTGTCTGTCGACCGAGTCACGTATATGGTTGTTGGCTCGCGAGCAGGTCGCCCTGGAAATACAGGCTCTCAGCATTGCAGTTAAACATCTTGCATATTGCAAACAAGAAAGGGAGGACCGAGCACTACTTTTGGCGGCACGATTTGGAGCAAGTGTTTGTAGAAACTCTGGACGGGCAACAATGGCAGCTCATGCAGTGGAAGAAGCTGGGGAAGTTGCGAAAACGAAAGCAAGACGGGATTATTCGCCTTAGATTGAAATGGAGATGTTAGAATGTTTCTAACAGACTCATAGTCAGTATGATGGGTGGATTAATATCTCTCTTATTTTTAAGCTTTTTGTCGTTGTCAGGAGCTNTCAATTTTTGACAATTAAAATATATAAATTTGGTGGTAGAGAACTTGGAATTTGGAAATACGAAATGGCGCACGGAATCTTGGTACTCGGACTTTACGAATGATTGGTTTTGTGTTTGTCGACCGAGGCACGTATGGGATCGTAGGCCCATGAGCAAGTCGGAGGTGGCCAGGAACCATTGGCTCTCAAGCTTTCAGTTCAACATCTTGCTTGCAAGCATGAGCCTCGGGACCTTTTGGCGGCACGATCTCGAGCAAGTGCATGTGAAAACCGTCGATGGGGAAAAATGGCAGCTCGTGGAGTGGACTGACCTTTCAGAATTGCGAAACAGGACGTATGGACGGACCTTTCCGGTTTTCTTTCACTCCATTTGAAGGCCTAGGCCTATTTTCTTTCACTTCAGGATATATATTTAATAAAATATAATAGACTCAATATATTTCTAGTTTTATGTTGTTTTATCTTATAAAATTAATATTGCAATTAAGTTAATTATGGTTCTACATTACAGCGGAGATAAATGTCGACGATAGTCTAAAGACACAACTTGGCGTGATATGCTCATAATTAAGAAGAAATAAACAATAACATACACATAAATCTGGGTAGATTTCTGTAGGAAACAATTCTGGTGCAGAAAATGAGTACATGTGAAGCATCCTTATGTCCATTTGCCTGGTCCAGATTCAATAACTAAGAAGTAATAAAATATATATTTCATTGCTGTCGAAAAGCAAGTGTAAATGATAGAAAAGGCATAGTGTAGAGGAAAAATAAGTCCACCAATCCCAAATATATTGCATCCTCTAATAAAACATATTTTTGTTGAAAAATAAACTTCATAATTTGTTATATTATTGTTAAAGCTTTCTTTAAAAAATATTTTATTAACTTCATTTATCACTTATTTTTATTTAACTATTTATATAAGATCTCTAAATTTTTTTATAAAAAGCAATTTGATATTTAAAAATATTATTTTTTAATATGGTATTTTCAGACTATTAAAAAGAAATATAATATTTATTGAGTATTTAGATGTGGATAAAGAATTGCAAAAAAATAAAAGAAAAATTGCAATATAAAAATTATTGAGTACTTAGATGTGGATAGAAATTGAAAGTTGTACAATTTTAATATGTTTGCATTATTATTAGATTTTAATTAATTTTAGTATTTACTAAAGTTAGTTGGGATCTTCTACCGTCAGATTCGCCTCGTACCAACCACCTACCTACCTAACATCAAATTCCTCTTTAAAATAATGCCACGTGTCATATCTATTAATTAATAAAAAAAATAATTAAAATTTTTTTTGTGTAAATTTCCCGCCGTCTCGATACCTATTTCAAGATCTGGATTTGGGAACTCCGCAAAGACTGACACATTTCCCACGGGCCCCAATGTCGCGCTTCCATCTACAAGCACGACATTCGTGGCCGACACCAGATTTTCGTCGTGTTGAAACCTGACGAAAACTTGCCAGGAACTCGTGGGTGTCGTTGTTGAGCACGGTGAAGGAGGACTGAACCAGTAGGGCTGTCGGGCTGGATCCGAGGGCCGAATCGGCGGGAAGATCCTTCCACCTTCGTAGGAATAAGAGAGGAATACTCCGACGCAGTGTCGAAGGCCAGCGATGGAGCTGCAAGTGTGGGAGGGGTTTGGGATTGGGCCCGGCAGAGGGTTAAGAGAAAGGAGATGTTGATTTTGATTTTTGGGAGATTAATTGGTAAGTTAAATGCTAAGGTTGTAATGATATATTTTGTGTATTTGAAGGATTGTTATACAAATAATATAAATATAAGGTCTTTAAAATAAATATAATTATCATTTTATAAATTATTATAATTTTTAATGACATAAGGGTATTATTGTTTTTTGCAAGTAGAAGGGGGTACGAGGTTAGTACGAGGTTGGTACGAAGCAAAAAGAATTTTGGTCACCTCGTACCAACCTCGTACCTTGAATCTAATGGTTGATATTGATTTATGAGTCAATCAAATGGTGATATAAGGAGGTACATGATGTTAGGTAGGTATGAGAGGTACCTGACCATAGACGGTCCCAAGTTAGTTTTATATATTACTTATATTATAATAACAAATTAATTTAATATTTATTAAAATCGATAAAATAAACGGTAAAACTGGTTAAACCGCGTACTGGTGGCTCGTCCGATATAATTACTTGTGCAGTATTTAAAGTACTATTAAATATTACAAATTGTGATATTTTTATATATAATTAAACCTTTGATTAATGAAAGAGGACTAGTTTTACCCTATGCATTTGCACGGAAAACGATATAATAAAAGAGAAAATAATTAAAAATATAGGATAAAATAAAATTAATAACTTGGTGTATTTTTGTAATAGAAAATAAAGATATTTATAGTCATTCTTAATTAGTTGTGAAATATGTATTTATATAATATCAAAAAATATATTGTACCAAAATAAAAACAAAAATATTTTGTATTTCAAGACATAAAAATGTGTTACAGAAATGAGCACATTTCAAAATGAGACTTGTAAAAATAAATTGTGTAACTTAAAGTTACAATTTTTATTAAATGGTAAACATATTTTTATTAAATGAACACCTATTTTTATTAAATGAACTCATATTATTATTAATTGCTGACTGAATAAAATTTATTGAAGTTTGCCAGCAATTATATACAAATATAGATTATTATTAGTATTATTATTATTATTTTATTATTATTATTAAGTATTAACAATAACCAGCATTAGGGTTGATTCATCCAGCAGACACAGAAAATCGTTCACATCACATTATCTCCTATGGAAAAGCAAAAGCAGGCGGTAGAAACAGGGGAGACTCTGTACACAGCCATGGAGGATAGAATATCCCAACTGCCAATACCTATACTTCATCACATTCTCTGTTTCCTCTCCCAGAAAGAAGCGGTAAGAACATGTATCCTCTCCAAACAATGGCGCCACATAGGAACAACCCGCCCCAACCTCGACTTCTCCGAATTATGGTTCGACAACACACAAGAAACATTTTTCTCGGTCGTCGACCGAACCCTACAAGAATACCGTGATCAAAACCTCTCTATACTCAAACTCGATCTCGACATAGCGTGGCCCCAACCAGTCGTCTCCCTTCTCGATAAATGGAGCCCGATGATACCCGCACTCAACATAAAATCGTCCAAACTCATGTTTCGTTCATATAGCCGAGTCCCGTTGTCATATCGTGACCTGCCCTCGGCAGTCTTCTTAGCTGAGTCCCTGGAAGAACTACACCTGTTCATGTGCAGGGTGAACCCGGTCGAGAGCGTGCGGTTCAAATGTCTACACACGCTCACCCTCGAATGGGTCCTCACTAATGACGGGACTTTGGAGAAGATAATGTTGGGCTGCCCTATGCTCGAGCGGATGGCCCTTTTTGGTTGTCGGGAGTTAAGAAACGTTAGACTGGTGAGCGAGGTAGCATCTCGTGGGCTCAAGCACTTTGAATTGGGGGTAGCATCAAAATCGATGTGCCGAATCTCGAGACAGTCCGCATCGAGGGCCCATGGATTTGGTCTCACCACCAAAGCCATTCTTGTTCTCTCGTCTCACCAGATTGAATCTCAAGAATGTGATTTTGTCGAGCGAGTCGTTCGACCTGTTATCATTCGGCTGCCCGATTCTTGAGAACTTGACCCTAAATAATTGCTCCGGTTTCGAGGAATTCCATCTTGCAAGTGATTCGGTCAAGTGGTTGACCATCTAGACAAACAATGTATTGCTTAAAGGAGCTACGATTTGTGCCCCTAACATTCTCAATTTTTGGTTCAGTATTCGGCAGGTGCCGGACACATTCTCCTTCACGACCACAACTTCCAAGGAGTGGGATTCAAATGTATTCCTCTCTTCTTCACGTGAGGATGATCCCGATTTCGACGTCAATTGGTGGTTCCTTGGGCTTAGACGATTGCTCAAGGCACTAAGTGGGTCTCGGATTTATCTGTCTCTGCAGATGGACGGCGGCCCTCTGTACGTGCCTTGTAGTGCTGTTGTCAGTCACGAGCCGCCTGTGGTGGTGCAGGACTTGGATTTTGGTACTTTTAAATGGCGCACGGCGTCTTGGTTCCGGGAGTTTACGAATGGCTTGTTTCGTGTTTGTCAACCGAGTCACGTATTTGGTTGTTGTCGCACGGGCGGGTCGCCCAGGAAATGCAGTCTCTCGCTATTTCAGTTAAACATCTTGCATATTGCAAAGAAGAAGTGATGACCGAGCACTACTTTTGGCGGCACGATTTGGAGCAAGTGTTTGTAGAAACTCTGGACGGGCAACAATGGCAGCTCATGCAGTGGAAGAAGCTGGGGATGTTGCGAAAACGAAAGCAAGACGGGATTATTCGCCTTAGATTGAAATGGAGATGTTAGAAATGATTCTAACAGACTCATAGTCAGTATGATGGGTTAATATGGGTTGAGTTGAAATGGAGAGGTCAGACAACACTTTTCTATTTACTATATATCTCTCTTATATTTAAGCTTTTCATTTGATGTCATATTAGGCTGCAAAAAAGTTATACAGTTTAACAATACGAACAGAAATGCTGCATAAATATAAATAGACGGACAAATGACAATTATTATTTTTTTTTTGCCTGGTTTTGAAAATCAATTTTGGACAATTAAAACATACAAATGGGTTTAAATTTTTCAATTCTTATGTGATCATTTGCAACTAATGAGTTTCACATTCTGTCACGATTTTTACCAAAAAACTGCCCTAAAGTCATAACCTTGCATAGCAAATTAATATGAGTGAAATGAAATAGTAGGCGATGTTCATCAAATTTGATTTTTAGTGAGGAAGAGTGTCGAGCTTCTATATGTTCATCATACATGTGTTATGTGGAAAGAGTTGGGAAGAAATTATTTTGGGAAGAAATTATTTTTTTTTATTGCTTGTATCTTCTCTGTTGAAGCTTTTCTACATTTGTGTACTATGTCAGAGTAACTATGTTAGAGTTTGTGTGAAGTATGGCGGTGCGCTTTTTGGGGGTTCGTTTGTGGGTCAAGTGTTTGATATCAGAATAGGAACAATGTAATAATAAGAACTAAAATGCTGCACAGATATAAAGACTGACAAATAACGTTTTCTGCTTTGAAAAACTTACGCATAAAACAAACAAACAACACTACAACAATCATCACTGATATAACACCTACAATAGCTCGGGGAATCGGTTTGAGTGACTAGCTCTGCTACGGTTGGTTCAAGGGAGCTTCAGCTCAGTATCAACATCTGACCTCGTCAATAAGCTCGCTTAGGTATCTCGTGGTACAAGTCAACCTGGTTAGAAGACTTAGAGGCCGAACTTATCTAGGAGCTTGGACATATGAGGAGATGTTACGACCTGTATGTCCTATAAGTAAAGGCCAGACTTTCAACCTTGTAAGCAGTGACAGAGTTAGGATTTTGACTTAGGGAGGCTCAATTTTAAATGTTAAATAACGAGTTTGTAGTTTACGTAGAAACGCTCATTTTATATAAATTCACTACAAAAAAGTGACTCTATGTGACTTTAATAAAGTATTACCTAATCTTAAAAATATGTTACTATAGATCATAAGTAACATTTTCAAAGTAACATTTTCACGGGTGCTACTGTTACCGTTGCTACCTATTGTTTTATCTAACACTTTTTTATTATTAAGCAACACTTATTATAAATGTTACATTAAATCATCTACTGTAGCACTAACTAGTATCATTTTCTGCATGTTACATATATAATCTTTAAGTAACACATTTTATACAATATGTATCAATTTCTTGTAACACTTTTTAGTTATAGTAGCATTCAATTAATCAATTGTATTACTTTAATCAATCTAATGTAGCTTTTCATATTGTCACAACACTTAGATTATTGGTAACATTTTTGTCATTCAACCATATCACTTTAATGATTAGAGGTAACTTTTTTTCAAATGATTATGTAGCACATTTAATCATTATATATATATATATATATATATATATATATATTATTTCATGATAATTTTTTATTTGCTTTCAATTATGACAATTTTAAATAAAGTGAATAAAATAACAACGCAAAATATCATTGTGCAATAAGAAAAGTAAAACAAATAAATATTATAAATAAAGTTAAAATAGTTCCAATATCAACGTAAAACAATATAAATGGAAAAGAATAATGAAAACTTCTGTACAAAGGGCGAACAATAAAAAACAAACACCTACTACTAAAGAGAGAATATTGCATTCGCAATGGTCATTTTCTCTCTTATATATATCACTTCTTGACAAGGCCACCATGGCCATCATCATCACCATCGCCATTTGCTTCACTTACTCCATCGTTCTAATTGTTTACTTATAAATATAGATATTGTACCATCAAGTTTTTAAAAACTTAGAATCCGTATCACCCTTAAACTTTTTTTTAGGAAAAAAAAAAATTGAGAATTCGTATTTATAATTTATATTTAAGATCTATCATTTATGAAGAAAATAAGACCTTTTGTTCAAAATGTGATTTACATTGAACTTTTGCAATACATTGCATAACATTTTTTGTTGATGAGCGCTTATCAAATGACCATTTTATTAATAATAAAATAAATAAAGTTGAAAATATGTGATTACATAAAAAAAAAAAGTAAAAAATCAACATCAAATATACAATCGATCAACATTTAAAATCTAACAATCCAACTAAATTCTAAGTTTTTTAAATCATTTTACAATTAAGAGGTCAAAAGAATAAATTATTATATATTTATTTTCTATAAATGTAAAATATAAAGATTGTTAGTATACTTTGAGTTGCATTTTAAGGTGCCCATGTTGTGGACGGCAATTGGGGCCCATTTTTTTTTTATTTTTTGGTAATCTATTCTGATATCAAACACTTGACCAGATCCTGACCTGACTTCATAACACTATCACAGCACACCAAATAGGCCTACGCCTTCAACTGGAGTGAAAGAAAACCGATAAGGTCCGTCCATACGTCCTGTTTCGCAATTCTGACCTCTCCATTTCAACTGAAGGCATATATTCCCGTCATATGTCCTCTTTCGCAATTCTGAAAGGTCCGTCCACTCCACGAGCTGCCATATTTTCCCATCGACGGTTTTCACATGCACTTGCTCCAGATCGTGCCGCCAAAAGGTCCCGAGGCTCATGTTTGCAAGCAAGACGTTGAACTGAAACTTTGAGAGCCTCTGGTTCCTGGCCACCTCCGACTCGCACACGAGCCTACGACCCCATACGTGCCTCGGTCGACAAACACGAAACAAATCATTCGTAAAGTCCCAGTACCAAGATTCTGTGCGACATTTAAAAGTTATGAATTCCAAGTTCGCCACAACCACAGGCGGCCCGTCACTGAGTAGATGACTGCCGTCAGCAGCACCACATGGCACGTCCAGAGGGCCGCCGTCCATATCCAGAATCAGAGAAATTCGTGACCCACTTAGTGCCTTGAGCATTCGTCTCAGCTTAAGGAACCACCAATTAGCGTCGAAATCGGGATCTTTCGCACTCGAAGAGAGGAATACTTGTGAGTACCACTCCTTGGAAGTAGTTGTCGTGAAAGAGAATGTGTCCGGCACCTGGGGAATACCGGCAGTGAAACCAAAACCGACAATGTTAGGGGCACAAATCGTAACTCCTTTAAGCAATATATTGCTTGTCGAGATGCTCAACCGCTTGACCGAATCACTTGCAAGATGGAATTCCTCGAAACCGGAGCAATTATATAGGGCCAAGCTCTCAAGAGTCGGGAAGCCGAACGATAACATGTCGATTGACTCGCTCGACAGGATCACATTATAGAGATGCAAACTCGTGAGACGAGAAAACAAGAATGTGCTTCGGTGGTAGGACCATATCCATGGACCAATTATAAAGATTGTCTCGAGATTCGGGACATCGATTTTGATGCTACGCCCTTCAATCCACTCGTAATCAGACAATACAAAGTGCTTGAGCCCAGGCGCGTCGCTCAACCAAACGTTTCTCAACTCCCAACACCTTTTAATGACCAGGCGCCTGAGCAAAGGGCATCTCAACATTTTTGTCTCAAAAGTCCCGCCATCAACTTGGACCTGTTGGAGGGTGAGCGTGTGCAAACTTTTGAACCGCAAGCTCTCGACTGGGCTTAACCTACATTTGCACAAGTGTAGTTCTTGGAGGGACTCAGATAAGAAGACTGCCGAGAGCAGGTTGTAATACTCTGAAGTAAAAGAAACAATGTCTAGTTTGAACGCTTTTATGCTG